CAATTTTTACTTGACATTTACACACACATAGAGACGGATTAACTGCTCTTGGTTTTTACGGCAAGTATTACCTACTACGTATTTATCTATAAATATTACTTATTTCTCGTGTGACACCTGACAATGCATCAAAAATGGTGTTGTTTTTTTTTCATTGGTCGGGCAGACAAATGGTCCACAAAACCGGGGTCGAGGTTCTCATGTCGACAGAAAAAGGGACAGAAGAGACGGAATTCATATTTCTTGAGAAGCAGGAGAAGAAGAACCTCAAATCGACTCAACACCTGGAAAGTTCTCATCTCATCTCTGCAAATCCATTGTTTCCCATGAAATATTATATTGTTACGTTGTTGCACCGCCGAGAGGATGAGTTCACACTGAGGAAAATAATATTACTCCTTCATTTCCCACTTTCTCCAAACATCTAATTCTATTAGAGATCAGAGACGAGAAAGAAGATCAGGGGGAGTCTGCTGCTGCTGCTGGTTGTTGGATAGAGGGGATTATTTTGATGGAGGATTTGTGATAAACTATTAATAATTATTTATTGCAGCGTCAGAAAACACGGCTAACAATGTGAGCTAGATACCTAGGCCTGGGTATAAAGAGGGAGAGAAAGCGACAGAAAATCATCAACGTTTATCATATCTACGGATGATGAGGATGGTCACATTCATTTCTCCGTATGCACGTTCACCACCTTTCTCTTGAAATACTTTCTCTACATGTTCTACGCGTATCGGATGGATTTATTTTTCTCCTGATTTCTCCCAATACAGTTAACCCAGGAAGATTTGAAATTTAAAAAGTAATAAATTCGTTGATATATTTGACAATCTAACACTATGAGACCAATTTTCTCTCAGTGAGAGACGGAAGTACCATCCTGGTACATTATTCACTATTATTATTATCCGTTATGCATGCTGTGATTCGTACTCAAGGACATGTGCAGTTTTCCGAAGCAATGGAGAGTTTCATATTTAAACTGAGAACATGGTGAAAATTCCGTGAACCAGTTGGGTTGTTGCTCGAAAATCGGTCGGTGGTGGTGTGGTGAAAGCAGAGGGAGCGTGAAGTGAAAGAATGTTTGCACTCAATGGGTGTGATGGTTGGAAACAGCATTCCGCTAATCTAATCCCTCATGAAGGCGATCATCATTGAGCACACGCTGCAACCAGGCAAAAACATTCTCTATATATTCTGCTGCCACTGCTACTCTCGATAAATTGGTGGCACTACTGCTGTGATGTCGGATGAGCACTTTGCCTCACAGTTACGTGGTAGCAATGTTTCAGTTTGACAGCCAATACTGATGCTTTTGAAGGATGATGACAGATCCGCAAACAGTTTGCTTGGATGGAGTTAGTTGGTGGTGGTGGGAGAGGAAGTAGATTATAAATTGGTGAAATTACGCCGAGAGAGAGAGAGGAAGGAGGAGGCGGATAGACGCGGATGGTGAATGGATGGATGGATGGATGAGAGATTGTTGAGCGGACGAGTTGACGGAGACAAAACGATCATCTTCTCTTGTTCTTCTTCATCTTTTCTCCTCCCGTGGAGAAAAGTCGCCACGTCTTGTTCAGATTAGCCTTCCCTCCTCCTCCTCCCATTCCGGAGAAGGACTTGGAGCAAGAACGATGTGCAAAGATGATGATAACGGTGGTGGTGGTGGTGGTGTTGAAGGTGGTGAGAATTTCTTGACTCAGGCATATTATTCTGGCACGCTAGAAATGATGAAAGGCAGGCCGCAATCACTCCAACTAACAAAATATCCTTTTTTGGCGGTGTGGGTTTGCTAAATCTTTCAAAGAATAATAATATTACACATTACTTTAAACGGTTTCAAGAAATTTTGCATGAATGTCCGTCAGGAGGTTGGAATGGGGTGAATACATATTATAGTTTTGTTTTTGTGATCGTAATGATATGAAAATTGCAGGCGTCATTTACGTTTGTGTACCCCGTACAATTAGTGTTTGATACAATGTACGTACGTATGTATGTGAAATTAGGCAAAACAACACAACTACCCAACAACGACTTTGGAGGATATAACTAGTCTTCCGAAAAAATTAATAAGCGGTTCGTCTGACTGACTGGTTAATTCAGCTCCTAAGAGATGAAGACTATTTAGTACCCAAAGTCTGAGATCATTTTTCTACTATATAAAAGTACACTGGCTTCATCGCTGGTTAAATGCTAGGTGATTGGAATGCTGAAAAAATAATTCGCCATCTTTCACTCCTTGGTTGGACCATTTTGCAAAACTGAAAGCTCAATGACTGACTTGAGAACAATAACAGAATGTGAAATGGTTGAAGGATGTGGATGGCGGCGTAGTAGTAGGTGATTGAAATTCAAGTGATGCAAATTGAATAAAATGGGTTGGTGGATAAGAGAGAACAAGGTACCACCAAGAAGAGGACGACGTACTACCATCTCCTCGTTATTGGTGTTCTTGTGTGTGATGATCCCGAGGAGACGAGATTCGTGATGCCTGACAGGTAAATTGCAGTGTATGAGATTGTTGTACTAGTGAATCGTGTCGTGCACCTTGTTATTACGATTATAGACGGTTTTTCTTCACATTTACTGACTTGGTATTACTGCTCATTACATAAATCACCACAAACACACGGGAGTGATCATATTGGTTTTCTCACACTCCAGGCTAACAAATTGATTTTTTTGCCTTGTAAAGCAGCATAAGTATTCATTTCGAGGACTGTTGTTGTTCTTTTGTTGAAGAAATTTACCAAGACTTGGTCTAATAAGGCTGGTTAGTCAGACGGAGGAAAAATATTGAAAAATATATCTGTAACTTGTCCATTTCTCTTGAGCTGTAGTAATTTTGCTCCAATCTGCCATTGCAAGGTTGTTATTTGTGACCACATTGTTTATTGTAGGACTTTATAGCCTCCGTCTCATGCACATTCTCACACTGTGAGTACCACGGATGAGTAACAATATTATGTAAACTCTAATAATAAAGGAAGCCAGTTCCTCCAATCTCTGAAACAAGTAATTTTGTCTTGGTCTCATCATTTCATCTTCTCGCCCATGGTGTAAAACTGAAGCTAAAAGTTGAGACTCCCGAGTGGCACTTATGCATAAAGCTAACCCCACCACCACAATGTTTATTTACTCTCTCCAACCCCGACGACTAAGGTTTTGGAACGAGGTCGCATCTTCTTTTAGAGCTTGGTTGGTGTGAATAAGAAGACGAAGGAGAGATGAACTCTTTCTCTCAAATCGACAGCCGTATTTAACTTTGAAAAAGATTTACATACGACGACGACATGTACATATTTCTGTTACTACTGTACATAGAGGCAAAGATAAGACATTTCTTTTTTCAGCTCAATTTTCTCCCTCTGAATGTTGAATGTTATTTGTTTGCATTTTGTTGCGATTCGTATCTTGTTGCTTCTTGTCCCAAGTCGAATGTTAAACTTTTTACCAGAAATGTGAAATGTTGAATGTTCAAATAAACGTCTGTGTAAAATGTGTAAATTTTCATCTTCTCACTTTTTACTTGTTTTCTTGTTAGAGATGTGTTGATTCGAAATCGGATCAGGTTTCGACTCAATTTTGTCCGGCTTACTGATACAAAAGTTGAGATTCATGTATGTACATGCGACTTTCGGTATGTAAATCCGTTGCATATTCAACGATCATATTAAGTTTTACCAAATTCATTAACAGCTACAGAGTTGTATGCGGAAATATGTTGAAACAAGAATATTTGAATTTCATAATTTATCTCAAAAGATGTACTGGCGTGGCCTATACATAAAAATTATAAATGCAAGGCCCAAACCTCTATGCACATAATTCACATACTGTTTACTACCAAAAAATACTTCATATGTGAGAACGATTAATCAAATTTCTATTCCCAGACATAAAAGTCAGTTTCTACTCGAAATGAAAAGTCGTAATGAAATAAGAAATACGATCGTAAATCTTGTAACGGATCAAGTTGAATTAGATGAGTTTTCAATTTCCAAATCTATATAAATTCCAAGTTTGTGTTCTCTGTCAATCGGGAAAGAAGTCGAAACTTCATTTTATTGACACTGACAAGCTGCAATCACCGACACTCCTCAATCTAACGAAGTTAATACCAAATCTGGCTGGAAGAGAGAAATTGCTCAGCGTGGAACTTTTCGACTGTAAATGTAACTAGATAAACATTTCTCTAAATATTTTTTTACTTACTGCATGCATGCATAAGTTAACGCCATCACCTCCTCTTCCAACTACTTAAAATTAAACACGTACCCATTCAAAAGAAATGATTTAATGATCATTAACATATAAATGTCACGCCACGCGTGTATTGATTGCGTCTTCCATATTCAACTCGTAAGCGAGGCGATTTGCTAAGCTATTCAGACTCTATTAATTTAGAACGAGTTTTACGAATCTACTACTGCCAATTCTTAATAAAACGTACGACTAACTTTATGCAGCGGAATGAATTATTGTTTGGTCAAGTGTTCAAGTAACAACTGGGTCAAAAAGTGGTAACCTTAATAATAATAACAAAAGAAGTGAAACAATGTCCATCTATTCAACAACACGCTTTGTTCTGTCGTATTGGACACGTTGATAAATTTATTTGCAATTTGTTATTTTTGCAAAAAGAACTTGAGAATTTCACTTTTTGAAAGTTAATCAGACCCTCGCGCTTATGTATGCAAATCTTTTTAGCAAACTAAGTAAGAAGAGGACGATGACAAAAAATGTGATTAGCATAACGCTGTCTCTGCTGTTGCTTCGAGCTGCAATGCAACTTCAAGTTCATTAAATCAATTGGAAGAAATTTAATCCTATCTTGTGTGAAAAGGCATACTTTATATTTATGCTTTAGAAAATGAAGTCAAGTGGTGGGTGATGAATTTAATTGTTAATTGTAATTAATATCACTGTCCTTAATTTTGTAACTGGTATTACTACAACTACTATGAATGCCAAGGAGAGTTTGTCGTTGATTTTAATGATGTGCACTAAAACATATACTTATTTATTTGCATATTAAATACATATCTACATCCATATTATGTACGTAATAGTACGTATTAATACCACAGAACTATACTATTCTATCATTTGATAGAATGATTAATACATACATTGCTCTGCTTGAGGCTCTAAGCGTGATGAAAAGTTTATACACCGATAATCGTTTTATGGTGGATAATTTAATGACAAAAAATGCATATGTCTAAAATTATTGCCCAGTGTAAAAAAATGTTTATAACCTTGCTGTGTGATCTATAGGTCACCAAATAAGGGTCAAAAACGGTTGTCTCATAACCCTACAAATTGGGGATCAGTTGAAAGCCCTTGACTAGGGCAACATGAAAAAAATTTTTTGCATTTTTTTACCTTAGGGTCACCGATTAGGTAATAAGGCCCATATTTCGTGACCCTAAGGTAAAAAAATGCAAAATAATTTTCTTCATGTTGCCCTAGTCAAGGGCTTTCAACTGATACCCCATTTGTAGGGTTATGAGACAACCGTTTTTGACCCTTATTTGGTGACCTATAGATCACACAGCAAGGTTATAAACATTTTTTTACACCATGTTCTGGCTATGAATCATCTTGCTGTACATAAAATTAGATAATACCTCGATTAATATGCCTTTATCATTTTATAAGTAAGTAGATTATACTCCAAATAATAAATAACTAAAAAGACGGGATAAAAAAAACATTGCTCGTGGATTTATTATTTAATTGATCGACTAGTATACTTTTAAGCATATAAAATATCAACCAGCAATATTTGTAGCTGTAACAAATGCAACATAAAAACTTCACTTTCATACTAAACTTTGATACTGAAATTTTGAACTAAGAACAAATTGATAATACGATGCTTGAATTTTAAAGTTATAAATGACAACACTGACTAAATTATTAAAGTGGATTGGACAATGTATAGAAACTCGATTATTAGGTTGGTATAATTCAAAAATTCAGAATTCTTTGCGGTATTTCCCCTTGCGAATTCTGTAATGAAGAATTGGTTTCACATCCGTATCGACTCCATAGCGACGTGCAAATTCCAGAGCGTCTTCTTGGTTGGAGCAACCCTTGTTCTGCGGTGAAAATCTTGACACTGATGTCAATGACCCGTTGCTCGATGATGATGACAACGTCCTTGGCTTTGCCCCATACTCTGACAATAGTTGATTTAAGTCAAAGTTCTTAGGATTTGGATACCTCATTACATCCTGTCCCTGAACCAGGCAGCACGAGCGACTTTCTTGACGACAAGGAGCTCGACCCCCTCTAATATCGCCCCCCTCGAGAAACACGTCCTCCGAGTTCGACTTTTCGTCGTCCGAAGTCCAAATGGCCTTCAATTTGTTTACATTCTCCTTCTGCTTCCAGAATTCGTTAGAATTCATTCCCGACATCGCGAATTGTCGAAAGTTTTCTTCCCACCTCGAAAATTGCATAAAAATAAACTACTAAATTTGTAAAAACATATGCAATGCATGATATGCATACACCACGGCAACCACCTTGATATAACTAACTTACGTTTTAACAAGTGGGAAGGAGTGAAGTGTAGTCAAGTTTAGCTGGGGGGGGGGAGGAGGAATAAAATAAAAACTGAAAATAAACTTTAAAACTTGAACTTGAAAATAAAAACGGTCCTTCACACGGAGCGAGCGGAGAAGAGTGAACGACCCAGATTCAAAGTAGCGCTAGTCAGTTCATGGACAGTCGGGGCGAGCACGTATTATGTTTTCAGCCCTTCTCTTTCATAATATTTTTCGTAATATCATATTTTGCATAATATTTTAGTTTTATATTTTTTCCCTATTTACTTCAATGCGAGGTGGAAGTATTTATATGTAAAACATATAGTATGTTGTTACCTACCAGAGGGTGGCCATGTAATTTACATATTTCATATTTACATGATGTAAATATTTACAAAAAATTGGCCAAAATATTTAGGAAAAATGTATGAGAAAAATAAAATAAAAATTTGATTTTGAAAATTTGAAATTTTGGGATTTGTACTTCTGAATTTAATGTTCTGGATTTTTTGTGGTTCAATTTCTTAGAGAACAAAATATCGTCTCACATCGCTGAAATATTTGTAAAATGTATGTATTTTTGGAAAAATTCCTAAAAGATGTAGGTATTTTTCAAATAATAGAGGAAAAATTGATAAAAGTTTGTATGTATGAAAACTTAGAAATATGTAAAAAATATTTGGAAATTTTTGTGAGTTATAAGAATTCAGGAAAACACCCACAACGTTCGACCACATGTCGTCATCAAGTGAAAATGTTGAAAATTGTCCGCCCTCTGGTTGTTACGCTAGTTGAAATTGAGCAAAAATTTCGAAATTTTAGTTTTGACAGTGTTAGACTTTAATTCGGACTGCAGAAATCACAATGATTTTGACCTAAAAGCTCATGAAAATGTATGTGAAACACAATTGCATGTTATTAATTTTAAGGGGACCTTCAGCGAGATGGGAGACGAGGTAAGAAGCAGGTAAAAATATTGGATAGGGTATGCACACACTGTTCTTCGAAATTTTGAAAACTACTGACCTGTTGACCTTAACGTGTCGATAGGACACTAAATATGTCTTGTCGAATGAGCTGGATGTATGGTATTCAGAAATTATCTACGGGGTACTGTTTATAGGTCCTTGTGCTACAACAAACACATACTTGCAACATTTTTTTAAATAGGCAAAAATTATACTCTCTTTTCCACATATTAAAACCCCACATCCATCAGCACATCCTACTCAATCAACGATTCGTTTGCCATGAGCTGCATAATATAAACTTTATATTATAAAGTGTTCACACAACATGCTGTACGGCTGGTAATGTAGACTTGAAATTCCAAGCGTCCCAACAAAAAATGCGAAACATTTCGTCTTTGACGACAAACCGTGAAAGGTTACGGATCCACTAGCAGAAGTTAAGTGTATTTGCAATCAGTCAAAATCGTTCAAGTCATACTTTGTCACTTTTTCACCATGCGGGTAAAAAAATACCCTGGCGTCGCCCATGGTGGCCAAATGTCCCAATTATTAACAACCAACCACCACGATACAAATGTAGTAAGTAGTTCAAATGACTATACAATACTAATAATGCGGGAATGTGGTAGCTGAGCTGTATCCTCCGTGAAAAATCTGGCAAGGAGTTGGATAACAGAAATATGTATTTGTGTTTGTGTGTGTCAAATCCTTTCTGGATTTGATCTGTCTCGCTCTTACTACCCACCAAGGATTGGTAATTGGCTTTTACTTCACATAGTTTTGACAGTTCAAGAATGCATTCCAACTCCACCAAATCCAATCCATTCTTCAACCTAAACCAAAAAATCTGTCAACTCTGACTGAACAGGCGCTTGCTGTTGAGCAAGTGAACCGCATTTGCTCAGTGTATTGTGTTTCTATTACATCTCATTCTGTTTGTACACAAGTTTATTTTACTTCTGTAACAAGTAATAAGCATTGTAGTAGCTTTTTAGAGCAGAAAGCAAACTCGAGCAAGAAGGCAAAGGACGAGAGTCAAAGATTGGAACTGGATAATTCCCAAACCCAAATAGAAATAAGACTGGAAAAGTCTTATTTCGAAGAGTGAAATATATAAGGAACCCGAAATGCATGGGGCTGTCATACATATCAAGATACATGCACTATATTGTTTGTTGTTATATTATTGAGAGAAACTAACCAGCCCCCCTTTCTAGTTGATGTTTCTCCATTCGTCAACTCAAAAGGCTTAAAGTTATGTTAACAATCAACCTGCTCACTCAAGCAAAACGACACAACATTGGCTTAGCCGTAGAAGCAGCAAGTGAGTGATTCGTATCCTATATTATTTACCAAAGTCAAGCAAAATCATAATACCGACTGTAAAATGACTGCGACTTTTTGTTTGTTTCGTAATCATGTAAGGAATTTGAAATTTCTGGAACGAACTCTGGAGGAACGGATGAGACAGAGAGGGAAAGGGGGATTCTTGTTGCATGCATTGATTGAAAGTTGGCCGATGTGTCAATGAGTTGCTTGACTAAAACTGACCTTTATTACCAGTCTACCTAATTTTATGACACAATACGTTCCATTGTTTAGTAGTTCAAAATGAAGCGTGTATGAGTAAATAACTTCCTAAAATTTAAACCTGAATTTAACGAACTTTACTTCCTTCCGCTAAATTTGAATGCAACTGATCAAGCAGATGCCATTGTGGTGCAATTCAAGCGGAAACATGGCTTTTACTCCTGACTTATTTTAGTGATACCCTCGAAAGCGCATAAGCAGCATATGCCCAACAACCCAAATTTCACTGAGCTGTGATTAGTACAAGTCACATAAAGCATGTTTTTCCCGAAATTTTGAACTGGGTTCCTGTTCATTGTACAGTTTGGTCTTTGTTACCCGGTTTTGGTTTACCAATCCTTGACACTTTCGGCAGATGATGAATTTCGGGTTAGTGAACTGTAATCTAGCGATCTTCTTTGTCACAATCAGCCCGATTTGTATTGCTACTACGGCATGACACCATACACGCGTAACTGTCACAAATAATAATTTTGCCGGAGATAAGGATGATTAAATTAATCTCGGCTTTGCTAACTGGTTAACAATGAAGCTCACATAACCATCCTTAAGTTTTTCAATAATTCAATAATTTTGGATTTGAAACCTCACTACTACCAGTCTGCATGACTAGCAGACGTCAGACTTCATAATTTAATCTTCTCATATATATGTATGTACATGGTAAAAATGCACATATCCAAAATCACAATTTGCTGGTTCATCAAAATATTCAATCGACAGCAGCGTCACAGGGACACACAGGACTCTTTATACGCATGGCTTCTCTGTTCTTTGCAATAACAATGATAAACTCAACAATCGCAGAGGGAGATACAATAAGTGGTAATCAGGCACAAAAATAAGCAAAGCATCGGGCATGGTGATCATCAAGTCGATCAAGTACTTTACTTGGTGGCTCTTCTGTGTCTCTTCTCTCTCTCTCTTTAGGTCAGTGGTTTCGGTAATAACAATAATAAACAAAATCTATTCATTCGATGCGATCCGTCTGGGTTTCTGGCTGGCTGTGGTACTTAATATCCATCCGCAGGAACCTCATTCACCGAGTATTCATCAATTTCTGAATTCGACAACTCAACATTAACCAAGGTTTCAATGATTCAACGATTCTTCAACTTTCCATTGTTGGGTGCACTTCTCATTTGTAGGGTTGTTGTTGGTGGGACCAAAATGTCGTTTTGACATGCATGCTATGACGATGAACATGGGAGAAGAGGCAGACAAAGCATGAAATATTTTAATCAAGACTCGCTCGTGACAATACTTAACCACTAGATTGGATTTTGTGTTGGTCGGTTACTGGTGAGGTTTGCTACTTGATAAGCTCCCTACGACAGGCAGCACGAGGACCCACGCATTTTCTTTCCCACTCTCACTCTTTCTCTATAGGGCCACTTCTGGTGCAAATTAATGAACAATGGCGACAACAATAACAGAGCACGACAGGGACAACAACTTTTCTCATTGTGTCGTTTATTCCATTAACCGCTCTGAGATTTGATGGTTTCAAACTCAAGTATTTCAATTAGTGAGAAAAAAAGTTATGAATATGCATACAATGAGCTTTATTTATTTTAATGACATTTTACATGCTAAGGTTTAGACATATATTTTTAATTTGAGCTGATAAGGACCGATTTTCCTATAAAATACGTCGCGACAAGTAATATGTAGTTGTCAATAAACGTGAGCAAACTCAATTCCTCGTGTCCTCTTGAATTGTAAGTAAGTGGAGTGGTGTTTGGTGTGGTGCAAGTTGCTGAGAAATGTCACGAAACCAAACCATTCGTTCCCCGTCAGCCGATGAGATCCAACCCTCCGAGAAAGGAGGAAAAGAAGAAGAAGTCATCAGGAGGAACTGTCAACGTCTCGAAACTCATTCAACCAGCAACGCCACGCAAGGCGACGCACAACGGTGGCGTAGAAGTGTGTGTGGTGTGTTCTTCTGGTGTGGGGCACGACGACGACGACGGTGTGGATAAACTTGTTGGTTTCTGGGATACAAGATCTACTTGAGATTTCAGTAGTGATGTGGTGCATTTGGCAATCATTATGTCAGGAAGGAGTAATAGTTAATTCAGCAGTAATGGATGAATGTAAGTGTGTGTGGCTTGGCTGTTGGATAGGAAAAGGCTTCTCTGGAGGAGTTGGAGGAGAAAAGCACTCAGTCTCCAAGAGATAAATGACACATTCCAACATCCTAAAATCCATGCATGTATTCCATCCGTAAATGCCATGCCATACAATTCCGTCAATTCGTTCTCTCGAATCTTATTGAGCTGCTGCCTTTCCCCAACCCTGTCACTTTTCTCTCGCGTGTCTAATGAGCTCGGGCCAACAATTCAAATCGTCACGTTTTATGTGCTTCCTATTTTCACTGAAAATATTTACCAGGTAGCTGTTAAATAGTGCTAACCAGCTTACTTTCACTTTCATAAAAGATTGTGATATACATTACTCGGTGCATATGGAACCATATGCACCACACAAAAATCAAAATTAGCCGTTTTTTTCTGGTCATGATAGGTTTCCAAAAAATCATTGCCGAAATGTTCCGCCATTTGCAGTTTCGTTGGTGCGTGATCTTTCTTTTTGGGCTTAAAATCCGAATGTAAAAATATATGTATGTAATGTAAACAGGGTGAAACAACTATTGAATAGATTTGTGCTCGTCTTGAGATATACATACTTCAATCGTCTGAAAATATCTGCTTGTTTTTCTCAGGATGATGGTAATGTCTTGGTGGTTATTTAGTAATGCCCCAACAGTGCAATTGGTGTTATTCTTTCTACTACAACAGTCAAAGCTGATGGGGTGACAGTTATTTCGTAGGAGTCGTAACGAGCATGTTCTGCTTTAACAGCGCATATCTTACAACAGGATCAATTAGGATGGAAGAGTGTTGAACAAGCAACTATTTATAACTGGGAAACGAATATAACTTTGGACTTGATGATTTAGAGTGATGAATATGAGACATCTTTCAGCATGGTGATAAAAAAGTTCAGTATTTGTACTATTTTCAATTTCCACATTATTATAATAACAAATTTGTTTTGTTTTATTACCAAATATAACAACGAGTACGTATAATAAATCATAAAAAAGACTGCCCATAAGGGAAACTTCTTTCTAAGAAATGATTAAAATTTTGAAATTAATTGTAACCATTAAAAAAATATGACAAATAATTAACTAAAGTTGGACATCTCGTCCCGAGTCATCGTGTAGTCCTGTTAATTCTGTCAAAGCAGCAGCAGCAGCAGCGAGCTCTCAACGGCCGCGTCCCCTCCCTCTACGACCAGGCTCAAGCTCAGTTTCTTGCTCATCATCCATGTCGGTTTCGTCTTTGTCGCTTGTGGCGCGAATAGCAACTTCGCTAGATCGACCCCGACCGCGTCCCCTCCCTCCACGACCAGGCGTAAGCTCAGTTTCTTGCTCATCATCCTTGTCGTTATCTTCTTCATCGCTGGTATCACGAGTAGCAATTTTGCTAGTTTGACCACGACCACGACCGCGTTCCCTCCCTCTAGCAGCGCCCCTTCCTCCACGACCAGGCTTAAGCTCAATTTCTTGCTCATCATCCATGTCGTTTTCTTCTTTATCGCTCGTGTCACGTCTGACAATTTTGCTAGATCCACCGCGTCCCCTCCCTTTAGCAGCACCCCTGCCTCCACGACTAGCCTGAGGCTCAATTTCTTGCTCATCGTCCCTGTCGTCTTCGTCTTTATCGCTTGTCGGGCGAGCACGAATTTTGCTAGATCCACCACGACCAGCCTGATGCTCAATTATTTGAGTATCATCGTCATTTTCGTCGTTGTCTCGATTATCAATTTTGCTAGATTGAACAGGACCAGCATGAAGCTCAGTCTCTTGCTCATCATCCACATCGCTTTCGTCTTCATCGCTTGTGGCGCGAGTAGCAATTTTGCTAGATCGACCACAACGTTCCATCCCCCTGCTCTTCTTGGGTACTCGCCCTTCGATAGTGTGGAGCCCACGCTTGCGCAATTCTTCATTCACTCTGGCTTGTACGACCGTAGTGAAATCCTGCTCGCCCGAAACTTCAAACATTCCAGGCACGGAAATGATTTGCTGACGAAAAAAACAAATATTACTCAACTGATCTTATCGACTTGCTCTTATCCGACTTATTCCCTTGTTTACCCGTAATATTCCTCCATGTAGAGCTGCCACCGGGACCGTGACAGTTACACTTGGCCCATCACCAACGACAGGTTGAACAAATACAGAAACCGGGACCGTTTGCGCGGGTGGAAGGATGTAGACAGCATCCCCTTCAGCTATATCTGCGTTAAACCAAAAAAAAAAGATGTTTACAATAGTTTGGATTGAACTAATTGTTTAGTTAGCTAACTTTTAACTTACCGTTCATTGATGACGAAGGCCCCGCAGATGTCGATGGGATTTCGCTCTCCTCCATGACCCTGTTGTCCTTGAAATCCGTCACAGTTCCCATTTCGGCCAATTTTTTTCGCCACTGGACACCCAAATCGACAAGGACGGTTTCATCTATCCCGGCCGCATACAGGTTGCGAAGCTTAGTGTCAATGACGTGTTGATAATGTTGATGCTATTAAAGATCGAGATAATGCATAAATAATTAATTAATTACTCGAACACCAATTTAACAACCTTACCACAGACACCTGGGAAGTTTTAGTTATCGGTGGAGTCGCCATCTTGATTCGAATCTATGATCAATTCCCTAAAACAAATAAAAAGAAGGTTAACATTTAACAATCATTTTTTGAAATTATGAATTATTTTTTAAAAAGTTTTTTACTTTATTTTTCTCGGAAACCAAAAATTCAGTCAGTCAGCCAGCCACGCGTTCTCCTCTCGTCTCCGTCCAGCAGATGACTCTCTCGACAGCCTCACGCAACTCTGTTCGTCTCAAGTTGCCTCATCGTCTCATATTATAAAACTCTTATTTAATTCTATTTACAAATCGGATGTTGAATTTAAACATCGGTTCTAAACTATAACTATGCATTGCACACTTTTTAACCAACAACACAACAGCTTGCACAATGCCACCCAATACGTTCGTAATTATGGCTCATTCCAATGTTGTCCTTAGCTTTTCTTCTTGCATGGTACACTTCAGTGGGGTCGTCGTCGTGAGGGCGGTACGGCTTTCTTGGCGGAGGACATAATAACCGAAACAGCAGAGTCAAATATCTCAATACTCCCACCTCTCTGCTACCCTGCTTCTTCGGGTCATGTTTAGCCTGACAATCGTTAAAATCTTTAACCACATCACCCACCTTCTGCTCATGGCTTGTTATTCTGGATTCCGAGAAACTTTTGCGCCCCATCATTTCCATCATATGAAAATCCTACTATTGAACTTACATATTTCCCCGAGTAGTAAATACTGCGATTTATTCAGGACCATACGAATCCATCTCTTTCTCTCTAGGCCTGGAGCTGGTTTGGCTGCGTGGGGGATGTTAATGAATCATTTGTATTTGCCAACCCATAGAATTGAGAAGGCATTAACCGAAACAAATTGGTGCGTAGGAATGCCCGTCTAATAATGTCTCCTCGAAATCCTTTTACTCATACATACCTCGTGGTGAAATCTGAACTTTAGACAACAAAGCGCAGCCAACTATTGACGTGGCCAACGTCACCCACCGTCGACAAATGTATGGTTCATTATTGGTTTCAAAACATGACGACGCGTGTCCAATCGCACATGTTTTCTTTCTGTGACCAAATAATTCTTATCAACCAGACAGAACTATAGAACAAATAATAATGCGGATTTATTATTATGCTTTTGTTAGAAAGTTTTTTTCGGGAGATTTCATGTTCATTAAGAGTTCAGTGTGTATACATAGTAATTAAAAAATTGTACTTGGGACCATCTGGTACTGACATTTATAAATTTAATCAAATTGGAGAGATTGTTTAGATACAAATAAGACAACTCAAACTTTATTTTCCACTTCTTCCTCGTGTTCGTGTGAGATCTGACGAATGTGTGAAAATAGATCATCCCTCAAGACAACGTTTCGTTGACATTGCGAGATTACGCGAATCCTTTATTCCGGTTCATCATCCAGAAAGGAAGGAAAATACATCACATGGATCTTTTCTTTTGCAATTTTTCAAACCAGAATGAATTTAAGGGTAACTCTAGAAAGGAGAAATGAAGAGAAAAGGTAGGCAGCAGACTCGTAGAAAATTGAACCACAAGAAAAGAGAAAACGACAAAAAGAAAGTGGAGATAAATTCTAAAATGCCCAGTATACACGCACTTCTCCGGCCACTGATAGATGAACCCTGTCCCCACTCTGTCACCCATCAACTTTGCAAATACGCAAAAAATAAGTGCAACAACTTTTCTCGGCTCTTTAGTAGAACCCAAGGCAATAGCCTCATCTCTTATCCGGTAGTCTCTTCAATGTGTCACTTTCTCACTTTTTTATTGGGAAAGTTGCCTATTATCCTATACCGAATGAACAGGTCAGCTCTGTGTTGTGCCCTAAATTCCAAATTACACGGGGACGACTAATGCGCCTTTGAATTGTGGACACTTTTGGACACACTTTTCAAGATTCTATATAAAAAGTTTCAACTTTCTCCCTCCTTAAATTGTTGGTTAGGGGAGAAAATATAATCTCGACGATCGCGGAGAAAATCCGATGTTGAATTGCCTGTAGGACAAGCAGTTAAAACCATGTTCAACCAAATTTCGATTCTTCAGCTAAAATTTGTATGGTTTTGAAGTATAGTGACGACATCTGCTCCCCTTTCGAGAGTTGGTCCATCATCGTCGTCGCTGGGTTGGAGTCAGCCAAAAGTCCAAGCCTTGACTGAATGTGGATATTTTAGTATAGCGAGAAAACGAGTGGATCATGATCAGAGCAACCAACTTGTCACTTTAAACCCTGCAGATATTCTCTATAAATTTGCTGACCCAGCATTTTTGAGTACATGTCCACCGTCACTGTCGTCCCAACTTATCAACTGTCTCACAATCAGTCTAGTCGGCTATCCAGTATCCATCATTCTTCCTTCTCTCTCTCTTCTGGGGACTTTACTCGTGGTGGTCGTCGTCTGCTAGGTCGTAGAACATTTTTAGCCGAGGAATAAGCGAGGAGAGGAGCGATTGAATCTCCAACAAGATAAATGTACCTTCTGCTTCATCACACCTCCACCGAAACTTGAACATGTGCGCAATTTTCTGTGGTACACAAAAAATTTTGTGGCTGTCATTTTTTACACTGAATCAGTCGGTGCTTTGTCTACATCCAAAAAACTCTAGAACGGGTGACCTCATACTTACTTTGAGTTTACTGCTCCGGAACAACTAGTACATACATGCTCGATAAGACAGAACATTGTTAGCAACGCGGCTGGATTAGCTGGCGAAAAGAAAGCACATTTGCATTCACAAGTTCATCAATCTAGCTTAAAATAAAAGCTATAAACACAAAACTCGGGATACAATCCAAATTTTTCTAGTCCTCAAGGTCTCCAAACAACAACTCCACGTCGTGTAGATGGTGCGAAGAAGTGGATCAAATTGTTGCCGAATTCTTAAGCTGTTATAAAGCCTTACATATTACGATGTATCCCAGGATTACGCAAAAAAGGATGGGAGGAAGATAAGATAGCAGGCAAAGTGCGCATGCAGCATGCGGGCTGGCTCATATAAAACATTTGGTTTCACGATTTGTGGAGACTCTGAGAGATGTCATGCAATAAAAAGGACGAAAATGTGAAAGCTTGGAGAGGGGAATGTGAAAAGTAGAGCTGGAAACATTCAAATTTGGCTTAAAATGATGGCTTGCCCAAAAGCTTAAATCCTTGTCGGAAATCTTCATTGAACTTGCAAGATTAATGTGCCATAAACCCGAGTCGGGAGAACGTGTAATAACAAACATACATGGCACGCTGAGGTTGCTCTTGGAACAGTCGTTCTCCTCGTGCATCACGATTCCAAGCAAAAGTCGCGCAACTCATGGACAACACAATTTTTTAATAGCACTATAAAAACCATTCTGGGATTTTTAATGTCCGCCACGATACGAGTATTGATGCCTTCTTTGCGGTATCTTGATAACATTACTTCAAGAGGTTCTCGACTTCTTAAAAACGTCAATCAATCCAATCCAGCAAGCAACCCCGTCTTTCTTCTTCCTCTTCTTCTTCTGGTACAATTATTTCATTTCGCGTTGTACCACAATGTCTTCTTTTAACCACCCACGAATCTTAAAATTGGACCGATCATTCAAAATTGTGCAAATTCTTATTAGCCAATCTATTTCATCATAATCACATCATCTATCCAAACACATGCACAACGTACGTACACCAACGCCAGAAGAGATGTTTTATACAGTTCGTTGCTTCCGGATGCTCACTCCCACACACACCTATTCAGAATTTAAATGAATAATTTTGAGAAACATGAAACTTCCTTTCACACATTTGTGCCATCATTGAATTGCGACTCTAACAAGCTCTCTCGCTAGACCCCAATTACTTTGATGCGTATCATTCAGAATTTTCCTGCACAAAATGATCAATTACTTAACACCATATAATCGATTTATGAAATGAATGCTACCCACGGGCAGTGACATATTCATTATCCTTCAGCTAATTGTAGGGTACCAGAATACATTAAATCACACTACTCGTAATGCACCCTTTTCTACTGAATATGTCCCTGAATAGAAACTATTGGATGGCTCGTTAAATTGCGTTGGAGCAGATGTCAGCTCTAATACATTTTCAAATAATGTGTACCTAAATATCCTCGAATAGTATCACTTGACACCTTTCATTCACGTTTGATATCAAGAAAATGTCCTCTACTGAATTTGAGTCTCAAATTGAACACAATAATTATTAATTTATCAGTAGGCATGACATGAAGAGTTTCGTCACGAAATAGTGCTCTCTGCATAAAATATTTAGCGATTGGGTTCATTCCTTGTACTTACGTGCTACTTAGATAATTCTACTTTAGAAGTGCATTGAAGAGCAAGAACAATTAACCTACCTCAACACGCAATTTGTTTTTGCTGTCGTTGTTTTGGAATTCTCAAGAAATTCTATCATATACTTGATACCCGTTTGGCTTGCACAGCTCGAGTGTCTAATTTGGAGACAAAGAGTACACGAGTCATTTACAAAATTTGAGATCTTATACTCAGAGACAGGTTTCAATTCCTTATCGATTTGATCTAAAACTTTACACCAGTATCTGTGAAAATAGATAATCCAGGCAGGCAGGCAGGCAAGCTTCCACTGCTTGTCGTCAAATCATTTCGTCTTCAACTTTTCAGACCAAACTTGTCTTTACCTTAACACCAACACCCTGATGTCTGGCCACTGCTAGGCTTAAGCATAATACGGAGGAGGGCTTAATAAAAAGTTTGTGATGTTATCCAAAATATCCCACTAACCCTTCGTCCCATGCTTCACTTTGGGCTTGAGATAAATGGATGTGCTTCTTCGGTCCAAGATTTTTTGTTCATAAAATAAAGTAAGAGATTGGAGTTGGCTCTTTTTCGTGAGCTGGTTAAAATTCTGGAAATATGTCGTGTCATCTTGTCACTACAAATAAGGGTCCTTACGTCTCGGCCCAAACCAAAAAAAATCCAACTCAATTGCTCACTATCTGATCCAAATCTAGCCCGGTTTGTATAGTGAAAGACTGAGACTAGTTGATGCACGATGATAGTGTCGTGATCCTTGATGGGTCTAATTAGTTCAAGTATGACCACTTTTTACAGAACAGGATGAAATAATCTTTCTCTTTCTTCTTCTTCCTCCACCACTACTTCTTGGACTTCCAATCTAACCAATTTGTTAGATTGGGAGCAGCCTCCAACATAACGGATTTCATTTCTTATTAGTCTTTCAACATAAATTACGTTAAATTCCTCCAACATATTTG